ATTCCCTTGGCAGGTCTGGCACTCCCTTGGCAGGTCTGGCATTCCCTCAGACTGGCTCTGTCCCAAAACCAGGATTTGATGGAAAATACATCAGGGTTTGTGTGTTTTGGTGTCACCCAAAAGCTGCCCCAGCCCTGGGAGTGTCCAAGGCCAGGCTGGAGAAGGGAAGGCTCCAGGGAGACCTTGGAGCCCCTTCCAGGGGCTAAAGGGGCTCCAGGAGAGCTGGAGAGGAATTTGGAACAAGGGATGGGGGGTTAGGACACAGGGAATGACTTCAAACTGGAAAAGTGGAGATTTAGATGGGATATTGGGAAGGAATTCTGGGCTGTGAGGGTGGGGAGGGGCTGGGATGGAATTCCCAGAGAAGCTGTGGCTGCCCCTGGATCCCTGGAAGTGTCCAAGGCCAGGCTGGAGAAGAAAAGGTTCCAAGGATTCCTTAAACCCCTTCCAGGGCCTGAAGGGGCTCCAGGAGAGCTGGAGAGGGATTTGGGATGAGGGATGGAGGGACAGGACACAGGGAATGGCTTCAGACTGAAAGAGGGGAAATTTAAATGGGATATTGGGAAGGAATTCCTGGCTGTGAGGGTGGGGATGGAATTCCCAGAGAAACTGTGGCTGCCCCATCCCTGGAAGTGTCCAAGGCCAGGCTGGAGAAGGGAAGCTCCAGAGGCACCTTCTGGGAAGGCTGAGAAGGGGAAAATAAATGGAACCTGACAGGGATTCTTTTCCTTCCAGGGAGTAGAAACTGTTAAGAAGGAAATCGATGAAAGTGTTTTGGGGCAAACTGGGCCCTACAAACGTCCGGAGCGGCTCCGAAAACGAACGGAATATTCTGGAGAGAGGATCAAAGAGGAGAGGATATTTGAGGCCAATGAGTAGGTATTGGGCTCATCTGAGGTGGATATTTCTGTGTCTAATTGAATAAAACCTGCCAAACTAGACAGGGATTAAAATCCAGGAGCTGGATGAGGCTTTGGGGGGAGAGCAGGGAGCTCCTGGAGCACATTCCCAGCAGGAGCTGATGATCCTGAGTCTTCCCAAAGTGAAAATGGGCACTTGGAAATTATAAATTTAATGGTCAAAGATCAAATTTTGACTTGGGCATGTGTTTTGTTGTCAGTTTTAACATCTCCACGTGGATTTAGGCTTGGAATTGGGACTGAGCCCTGAGCTCCTTTGCTTTCCCTGCTACCTCAACCCTCTAAGTCAGTTATTATTTATGTGGTGTATTATTTCCCTGCTGTACCAATTATTTAATGGGATTAATTAATGGGGTTCTAATTTGCTTAGAATTATAATTCTAAGTAATTCTAATTCTAATTAATTTATGGGGTTATAATTTATCTGGTGTATAATTTATGGGCTTATCACTGATGTGTCTCCTCACTTCTGTTCAGGGCTGCAGGGATGTTCCTCCTCTTTGTTCTCCCACTGTTGTAAGTTAATTTTCTCCCCTGTCTCCATGTTTTATCCCTGTTTCCTGCCCTTTCCAGGGAGGCCATGGGAATGGTGCTGCACAAAGACTCCAAGTGGTACCAGCAGTGGAAAGATTTCAAGGACAACAACGTGGTTTTCAACAGTGAGTGTTCAAGAGCTCGGAGGCAAAGCAGGAGCTTCCTTCTTTTTCCCAGCCCTGATTCCTGCTGGTGTGGGTCTCATTCCATCTGTGCAAATCCCAAATTCCCAGCCTTCCTGTGGAAGGGGTTGGAGCTGGTGCTGGGAGTGGTGTGAATGGGAAGGGGGGGGAAGAGTTGACAGCTCTGCAGCTTTTCCAAGCTGCTCCATCTGTTTTCCAGCCCCTCCTGCTGGATCAGTCCCTGGAGGCACCAAAACCTGTTTTCCAAAAGAACTCTTTGAGCTCTTCTTTGTCCCGTTTTTCCCTCACCAGCCTCGTGGTGGCTCTGGGAAGAGGCTGGAAGGGCACATCCAGCAGCAGGGAGAGGGCAGCAGAGGGCACCAGGTCTGCTCCTCCTGGCCTGGAGCTGAGGAAAATCTTTATAAATCAACAGGGTGGGGAGAGGCTGGATAGAAGAAGCTTCCTGGAGAAGCTGTGGTTGCCCCATCCCAGGAAGTATCCAAGGCCAGGTTGGAGAAGGGAGGGCTCCAGGGAGACCTGAGAGCCCCTTCCAGGGCCTGAAGGGGCTCCAGGAGAGCTGGAGAGGGATTTGGGATAAGGGATGGAGGGACAGGACACAGGGAATGGCTTCAAACTGGAAAAGTTGCGATTTAGATGGGATATTGGGAAGGAATTCCTGGCTGTGAGTGTGGGGAGAGGCTGGGATGGAATTCCCAGGAAAGCTGTGGCTGCCCCATCCTTGAGAGTGTTCAAGGCCAGGCTGGAGAAGGGAAGGCTTTAAGGAGACCTTAAACCCCTTCCAGGGCTTGAAGGGGCTCCAGGAGAGCTGGAGAGGGACTTGGAATGAGGGCTGGAGGGACAGGACACAGGGAATGGCTTCAAAGTGAAAGAGGGGAAATTTAGATGGGATATTGGGAAGGAATTCCTGGCTGTGAGTGGGGGGAGAGGCTGGGATGGAATTCCCAGAGAAGCTGTGGCTGCCCCATCCCTGGAAGTGTCCAAGGCCAGGTTGGAGCACTCTGGGCTAGTGGAAGGTGTCCCTGCTCATGGCAGGGGGTGGAATGAGATGAACTTTAAGGTCCTTCCAAGCCAAACCACTCTGGGATTCCCTGATCCTAAAATCTGTTTTCTGTTGGCCCCTGCCCAGACTTCTGGAATATTTGGGACTTCGCCTCCTTCCCGTTTTTATTGCAAAACCTTAAAAATTGTGAATATCTTTGAGTAGTTTATTTAGAGATTTAATGTTTCTGAGAGGCAGAAAAAGCCCTAAAACCAGAACCCTTCAACAAATCAAACCCATCCCTGGCAGTGCCAGGGGGGAAAAGATTTGTTAAGGAACCAAATGATCGTGTGAAAGTACAACATAATTAACTTCACATCCTGTTTCTTCCCAGTTTTTGAAGCAGAGCTCCTTGGGAAGTGTCCAGGAGTGGGTTTTACATCCCATTTTTTAGGCTTTCCAAGGAGAGGTGCTCCTCAAACTCCCCCCCCTCCAGCCCTGAGCCATCTGCCCGAGCTTGGGAGTGGTTTTTTTAGGCTTCAGGCATCTTTCCAAGGCTGATTTTGAGTCCAGGCTGAGCTGCAGCTGCCCCAGGCTCTACCTTAAGGTACCACTCTGAGAACACTCCATGTTCCTGACAGGAGAATCCTCCAGGGAATAATTCCCATTTTTAACTGAAGAACTTCCCTGCAGGGCTGTTCTCCCTTCTGTGGGTCTGATCCCTCTGATGGTGCCCAGAGCCCTGATTTGCTGCAGCAATGCCCTGTTTGCTTCAATATCTGGGTTTTTTTAGGTCCCCCCCTGCCCCTTTCTACCCTTGGGATTTTTCCTCTGCAGAGTTTTCCTCCTGGAGCCAGGACACACTTGGCTTCCTCCCTCAGCAAGGTTGAGGAGCACTTTGAGCTGCTTAAAACCTGCACCCTCACTGATGTGGGGCTGTTTTATTAAAAATTTGGTCCAATTTTAAGATCTGTTCTATGATTTTCCACCCCTGGTGAAACTTTCTAGGGTGATTTTCACATCTCCTGCCCCTTGTAGGGCACTGAATCGAGGGGTGAGACTGTTCCTGGTGTCATCAGACTGTTCCTGGTGTAATCAGATTATTCCTGGTGTAATCAGATTACTCCTGATTTAATCAGACTGTTCCTGGTGTCATCAGACTATTCCTGATTTAATCAGACTGTTCCTGATTTAATCAGACTGTTCCTAGTGTCATCAGACTATTCCTGATTTAATCAGACCGTTCCTGATTTAATCAGACTGTTCCTGGTGTAGGGCAGTTTTCTGGTGTGTTTTCTGCCTGCAAATCTTCCAGAAGCTCCCAAAGTTTGTGGCAGCTGAAGCGGGAGAACCAATTCCTGGGAGTTGAAAACCAATTCTTGGGAGTTGAGAACCAATTCTTGGGAGTTGAGAACCAGTTCTTGAGAGTTGAGAATGAGTTCTTGGGAGTTGAGAACCAGTTCTTGGGAGTTGAGAACCAGTTCTTGGGAGTTGAGAACCAATTCTTGAGAGCTGAGAACCAGTTTTTGGAAGTTGAGAACCAGTTCTCAGGAGCTGAGAAGGAGGACGATGGGAAAGGTCCTTGTGGTCGGTGCCTGTTGCGAGCCAGGAGATTGAGGAGGGAACTGGGAGCTCTGATTCCCAATCCCTGGCAGTTTTCCTGGATCAGGATGGGCTCTGAGCTCTCTCTGCTCTCCTGGCAGGGTTCTTTGAGATGAAGATGAAGTACGACGAGAGTGACAACGCCTTCATCCGGGCGTCCCGCGCCGTCACCGACAAAGTCACCGACTTGATAGGTAACAGCTCCTCCCCGAGCTCCCCCTGCCTCTGGCTCTGCTCCTCCTTGTGCTATTTCCCACCTTTTGGGACAAATTCTGGAGCTTTCCAGCATTTTCCACGCGTTTTCCACACGTTTTGCCTGGATCGTTCTCCGGGATCGCTCAGGGATCAGAAGGGCTCTGAGATGACAAGTTAAGCCTGGGACAAATCTCTGGGATAAATCTCAGGCTTAACTTAAAGCCTGGAGTTGTTCCTCCCTCTGGTCTTGCCTTGTTTTACTCCCCCAGGGGCTGGTTTTGTGCCACTGCCTTGTTTTCCCAGGTGGATTGTTCTCCAAGACGGAGATGTCGGAGGTGTTGACGGAGATCCTCAAAGTGGATCCCTCCTTTGACAAGGATCGTTTCCTGAAGCAGTGTGAGCGAGACATCATCCCCAACGTCCTGGAGGTAAGGGAGAAAAAGCATTCCTTGGATTTTTTCCCCTTTTTTTACTTTATTTTTACTTTTTTTACTTCGTTCTTTCATTTTTTCCCATCGCCCAAACGAAAAGGCGGGACGGGATTCGCTCCTCGAACATCCTTGGGAAAGGAAGTTGGAGCCCCCATAACCAGCAAGTTCCACCAGAAAACCAGTAAATTCCATCAGAAAAACAGCAAATTCCCTCCAAAAACCAGCAAATTCCCTCAGAAAACCAGAAAATTCCCTCAGAAAACCAGAAAATTCCCTCAGAAAACTAGAAAATACCCTCAGAAAACCAGTAAATTTCCTCAGAAAACTAGAAAATTCCCTCAGAAAACCAGAAAATTCCTTCAGAAAACCAGAAAATTCCCTCAGAAAACCAGAAAATTCCCTCAGAAAACCAGAAAATTCCCTCAGAAAACCAGTAAATTCCCTCAGAAAACCAGAAAATTCCCTCAGAAAACTAGAAGATTCCCTCAGAATATTTCATTATTTAAAAGACTAATAAATTCTTTTTCTGGCCTGGAAAACAGCAAATCATCCTCTGCCCTGAGAAATTACGCAGGATCAGAGGGATCAAAGGGATCAAAGGGAAGGGGGTGATAAAAAATGGATAAGGGAAGGAATTTGGGGCATGCCAAAAGGATCTGGGACTCAGGGAGAAGAGCAGGACCAGTGGAATAAAAACTGATCTGAGGAATAAAAACTGATCTGGGGAATTAAAACTAAGGAGTAAAAACTGATCTGGGGAATAAAAACTGATCTGAGAAGTAAAAACTGATCTGGGGAATTAAAACTGATCTGAGGAGTAAAACTGATCTGGGGAATAAAAACTGATTTGAGGAGTAAAAACTGATCTGGGGAATTAAAACTGATCTGAGGAATAAAAACTGATTTGAGGAGTAAAAACTGATGTGGGGAATAAAAACTGATGTGGGGAATAAAAACTGATCTGGGGAATAAAAACTAATTTGAGGAGTAAAAACTGATCTGGGGAATAAAAACTGATCTTGGGGTTAAAAATTGATCTGGGGAATTAAAACTGATCTGAGGAATAAAAACTGATGTGGGGAATAAAAACTGATGTGGGGAATAAAAACTAAGGAATAAAAACTGATCTGAGGAGTAAAAACTGATCTGAGGAATAAAAACTGATCTGAGGAATAAAACCAGATCCCAACCAGGGCTTTGTTCCTCCTGTCCTTGTGTGACTTCTTGGGATGTGATGGCTCAGGGAGAAGAGGGAGTTCTCTGGGAATCTGCTCTTCCTCACAGTGCCAGGGAAAAGTTGCTCCTGGCTCTTGGAGAAGGAATTTTTCCTGCCAGTTTACAATTTATAAAGCATTGGATTAAACCCCACCCTTTCCCACCTGTAAATAACTTGATTTTTGGGGTCTGCTGAATTCCCAGTGGGGGTTTTGTCAGGAATTCCAGAGTTTTGGTCCGGAATTCCAGGGGTTTTGTCCAGAATTCCAGGGGTTTCTCAAAGACAAACCTTTCCCAGGAGTTTCCAGTGGCATCTGGTCATTCCAGGCCCTGAATTTTTCACAGCCTTGAAAACTTCCCGATCTGACTCCTGGCATGTCCCTCCTACTTCTGTTTGATCCCATCCCTCAGAATTCCCCAGGAATGGGAATGCTGGGGACTTTTTTGGAAGTTTTAATGGGAAATTCAACAGGAAAGTTTACCAGGAAGGTTTAGGAGCTTCATCCTGGAAATTTATTGGATTTATTGGACTCAGTTCATATGTGTTTTTAGGAGTCTTTATTCCTGTTCCTCTTTGAAACTCCTGTTTTCCCTGGATTTAGGGTGTTTTGCTGCTGGAATTGCTGGTTATTTCCACCCTGTGTTAAAATGTTCCTGTTTTATTCCCTTTTCCCAGGCTCTGATATCCGGGGAGCTCGAGATCCTCAAGGATTGGTGCTATGAGGCCGTGAGTGGAGCTCCTGGAAATGTCCTGGGAAGGGGGGGATTCTCCCTTGGAAATGGGTTTATTGGGCTTTTTTTTGGCTTGGGAGCTGGGCCTGGTTATCCTGGAGAAGAGGCTGAGAGGGGATTTATGTAGTAAATATAATAATATATTATATTATAATATAATAGTATAGTATATATATTATATATAATAATATAACATATTATATTATTTGACTCCATGGAAGCAGAGCCTTGCCTGAAAATAGAGATTTGTTCTGGGCTTCACTCCTCCAAAATGATTGTGCTTCAGAATCCAAAATAATTCTGTTTAGAATCTAAAATAATTCTGTTTAGAATCCGAAATAATTGTGTTGTAAAATCCAAAATAATTGGGGTGTAGAATCAAAAATAACTGGGATATAAAATCCAAAATTATTGGCATTTAGAATCCAAAACTATTGTGATATAGAATCCAAAGTAATTGTGCTGTAGGATCCAAAATAATTGTGTTTAAAATTCAGAATAATTGGGCTGTAGAATCCAAAATAATTCTGTTTAGAATGCAAAATCATTGGGATGTAAAATCCCAAACAATTATGATTTAAAATCCAAAACAATTGTGATGGGAAATCCAAAATAATTGGGCTTTTAGAATCCAAAATAATCGGATTTTAGGCCCCAAAATAATTGGAGTTTAGGCCCCAAAATAATCGGATTTTAGGCTCCAAAATAATTGTGGTTTAGGCCCCAAAATAAATGGGTTTTAGGCCCCAAAATAAATGGATTTTAGCCCAAAAATAATTGGATTTTAGCCCAAAAATAATTGGATTTTAAGCCCCAAAATAATTGGATTTTAGGCCCAAAATAATTGTGTTTTAGGCCTCAGAATATTCCTGCTGTCCCATTAACCAGTGGAATTTCTTGGAGCGAGTCTCCTCCGTGTCCCCACCACCAGAGGGCTGGAAGAGGCAGGATTTTGGAAGGATTCCTGTGGGAAAAGCAGTGGATTCCTTGTGCTTCCCGAGCCCAAAAATCAAACATTTCAGAGCCTTGTAATTAGAAATTAAAGCTCTTAAGTCCAGAATCAGCAGGAAAATAAGTCAGGGGAGGGATAATGGGAGAATATTCCCAGTATTTGGAGGTAAAGCCTCTTAAGGGAGTCATCCCACAGGATGAGTTTGGGATCATTAAAGTGTTGGAATAAATCCGGCAACACAAAATCCGTGGGGGGGTTTTATCCCAACTCCCACTGGTGGAAGGGAGAATCCCACTCTGGGAGGGAGAATCCCACTGGTGGGAGGGAGAATCCCGCTCTGGGAGGGAAAATCCCAGTGCTGGAAGGGAAAATCCCACTCTAGAGGGGAGTATTCCATTGCTGGGAGGGAGAATCCCACTCTGGAAGGGAGAATCCCAGTGGTGGAAGGGAAAATCCCACTCTGGAAGGGAAAATCCCACTGCTGGGAGGGAGAATCCCACAGCTGGAAGGGGAATTCCATTAGTGGAAGGGAGAATCCCACTCTGGAAGGGAGAATCCCACTGCTGGGAGGGAGAATCCCACTGCTGGAAGGGAGAATCCCACTGGTGGAAGGGAAAATCCCACTGCTGGGAGGGAGAATCCCACAGCTGGAAGGGAGAATCCCACTGGTGGAAGGGAGAATCCCACTGCTGGGATGCAGAATCCCGCTCTGGAAGGGAAAACTCCTGGAATTGTGTACTCAAGCTGGGATGCTTTGGGATTTGCTGCCCTCAGAATTCCCGCTCCGTGGCTCCAATCCTGGAATTCTTGCGGGATGTTCCCTCGTGGCGAAGGGTGGAAGGTCCTCGGCGGGGGAGGGAGGTGCTGTTTGATTCCTGCCAGGAATGCTCTGGGAATGCTGGAAGCAGGGAGAGATTCACCATTCCCAAGGGTTCTGATCCATAAATAACCATCCATCTGTGCCTCAGAGGAGCCAGGGAATGCTGAGCTGCCTCCAGGGCTGGCCAGGAATTGGGAAAACAACCTGGATCCCAGACTGTTTCTCCGTCTGCCGTCAGCCCGGGATTGGGAATGCCTTGGTGTCCACACATCCTGGGCAGGGAAAAATGGGATTTAGAAGGGCATTTTGGGGAACCCCGGAGCGCTGGTGCAGCTCTTTGCTACCAGACACCCATCCAGCACCTTCCCAAAATTATTTAGGGCTTTGGGAGATCCCAAAAAACGGGCTGGGAAGCTGCAGGGACACCTGAGCTGCCCCAAAAAAGGTGGTGCTTGGAGAGTCCTGATATCCCTGGATATCCCACTGCAATATCCCAGCAGATCCCTCATCCCTTTGGTTTTTTGGTAGTTCTCCCTGCATGGAAATTCCCCTTTTTTCTTTGGGACAGGACAATTCCAAAGGGGTTTTTTTTGTTGCTTCCTTTTAGACTTACAGCCAGCTGGCTCATCCCATCCAGCAAGCCAAAGCCTTGGGGCTCCAGTTCCATTCCAGGATCCTGGACATCGACAACATCGACGTGAGTGTCCCAGGATTTCACTTTGGGGCCTGGATTAAACTCAGCAGGGATATTCTGGGAATCACTGAGGTTGGAAAACACCTCCAAGGTCATCAAATCCAACCGTTTTTGCTTTAACTGCTGGGTTTGGCCTCTGGGGTTGGGCAGCTCTTCTCCCACAGGGACAGATCCCAGAGCTGGAAGGGAGAATTCCAATGCTGGGAGGGAAAATCCCACTGCTGGAAGGGAGTATTCCACTGCTGGAAGGGCATATTCCATTGCTGGGAGGGAGAATCCCTGTGGTGGAAGGGAGTATTCCACTGCTGGAAGGCAGAATCCCACTGCTAGGAGGGAGAGTCCCACTACTGGGAGGGAGATTCCCACTGGTGGAAGGGAGAATCCCACTGCTGGAAGGGAGAATCCCACTGCTGGAAGGGAGTATTCCATTGCTGGGAGGGAGAATCCCACTGCTGGAAGGGAGAATCCCACTCTGGAAGGGAAAATCCCAGTGCTGGAAGGCAGAATCCCACTAGTGGAAGGGAGAATCCCACTGCTGGGAGGGAGAATTCCACTCTGGAGGGGAAAATCCTACTGCTGGGAGGGAGAACCCCACTCTGGAAGGCAAAATCCCAGTGGTGGAAGGGAAAATCTCACTCTGGAAGGGAGAATCCCACTGCTGGGAGGGAGAATTCCACTCTGGAGGGGAAAATCCCACTACTGGGAGAGAGAATCCCACTCTGGAAGGCAAAATCCCAGTGGTGGAAGGGAAAATCTCACTCTGGAAGGGAGAATCCCACTGTTGGGAGGGAGAATCCCACTGCTGGGAGGGAGAATCCCACTAGTGGAAGGGAAAATCCTGATGGTGGAAGGCAGAATCCCACTCTGGAAGGGAGAATCCCACTGCTGGGAGGGAGAATCTCACTCTGGAAGGGAGAATCCCACTGCTGGGAGGCAGAATCCCACTCTGGAAGGGTAAATCCCACTCTGGAAAGGAAAACTCCTGGAATTGCTCAAGCCCAAGTCTGTGGTTTGTGTCCTTGCTCTCGGGACACCTTTGCTTGGCTCAGCAGCAGATGGGATCGAGGAAGGCTAATCCTAAAGGCAAACAGCACATTCGCAGGGGATTCAGCCAGGATCATGGACATTCCTGCCGTGGCTCAAGGTCGGGCAGGGCAGGAATGGCTGGAGAGAGTCCGAGCTGCTGTTCTGGAACGTTCCGGAGGGTTCTGGGTGGGCAGGGAGCGGCTCCTGCAGGGCACTGTTGGGATTTGCTGGTTTTCTGAGGGAGTTTATTGGTTTTCTGATGGAATTTACTGGTTCTCTGACGGGATTTGTGTGCTTTCTGACAGGAATTTGCTGGTTTTCTCATGGAGTTTGCTTATTTTCTGATGGAACTTGCTGGTTTTCTGAGGGAATTTTCTGGTTTTCTGATGGAATTTGCTGGTTTTCTAATGGAATTTTCTAGTTTTCTGGTGGTATTTACTGGTTTTCTGATGGACTTTTCTAGTTTTCTGAGGGAATTTGCTTATTTTCGGAGGGAATTTTCTGGTTTTCTGATGGAATTTATTGGTTTTCTGATGGAATTTACTGGTTTTCTAATGGAATTTTCTAGTTTTCTGGTGGCATTTACTGGTTTTCTGAGGGAATTTGCTGGTTTTCTGAGGGAATTTTCTGGGTTTCTGAGGGAATTTGTTGGTTTTCTGAGGGAATTTGCTTATTTTCTGGTGGCATTTACTGGTTTTCTGAGGGAATTTTCTAGTTTTCTGAGGGAATTTACTGGTTTTCTGAGGGAATTTTCTAGTTTTCTGAGGAAATTTACTGGTTTTCTGAGGGAATTTTATGGTTTTTTGAGGGAATTTTATTGTTTTCTGATGGAATTTTCTGTTTTTCTGAGGGGATTTCCTTATTTCCTGATGGGATCTGCCGGTTTTCTGATGGAATTCCCTCTCCTTGCAGTTGGCCATGGGGAAGATGATGGAGCAGGGACCAGTTTTGATCATCACCTTCCAGGCTCAGGTCGTGATGGTGATAAAGAACCACAAAGGGGAGGTGGTGGAAGGAAATCCGGTGAGTGGGATCTGGGACAGCCTCATCCTGCTCTTTTTCCCTCTTTTTTTCCTTCCTAAAAGTCATTGGAAAATCCTTTGCTGAACAAGGGGTTGGATTGAAGTCGTTTGGGGGGAAATCACTCAATTAAAATCACTCAGTTAAAATCACTCAGTAATAAAATTAATAACGAGGCTGCTGCCTCCCCATGCTTCACACAAAATAAAGCCCCACGCGCCCTTATTCCATGAAATTCCATGGAATTCCATGAAATTCCACCATCCATAAATTGAATTTAACGCCATGTGTGGTTCCTGGGGAAGCCTCGGGCAGGGAATGATTTGTGGAGCAAATCCCTGGCACCTCTTGGGAGTTGGGGCTGGAGTGATGTCAAGCTGTCAGAACATCCTTGTTCCCAGAATTAATGACAGAGGAGCCTCTGGAATACCTTTATTCTCAGGAGTTTCACTCCAGACAGCTCCAACTTGCCTCGTGCCTGTGCAATATTTAAGTAGCTTAATGATGGCTAATGAGGGAGATGTCTGGAGCTGGCAGTTCCCAGCTCGTTTTCCTTGGGATAAATACAGGCATTTAATAAATATTGGCTTTTTTTTTTTTTTTGCAACCCTTGTCTTTAGTTTGCAAAAAAAAAAGGGATTAATTTGAATTCTTGGGCTGATTTACAGCCTGTCACTGGGGCTGCAGGGGGAGGAACAGCTGATCCAGTGATTCCTTGCATTAAATTAGTGCATTCCTGGGAGATGGATATTGATGGGATCATTATGGAACAGGATATCAAAGTCTGTTGGCTGTCTGGTTTCTCTGGGGGCAGCAATAAATCAAGGAGATACATTAAAACCTTCCACTGGAAACCAAAATTGAGCTTTAATCAAGTGGCAGCCTGGGTGGTGACTGGGATTTGGGGCATTTTAGGGTAAGAGGAGCCTCAAATCCATGGAATTACAGGATGGTTTGGGTTGGAAGGGACCTTAAAGCTCATCCTTAAACACCTTCCACTATCCCAGGTTGCCCCAAATTGGCTTTGGGGGCTTTGGAGCAGCCACAACTTTCAGCTGCAAACTGGAAATTCTCCAAACAGATGTTGCTTGGAATTCCCCCTGGGATTTTTAGCCTGCTTGGAATTGTTCAGGTTCCCAGAAAATTGAGAAGAGGAGGCCTTGGACAACCAGGTCAAGGGAATCTCTTTAAAATCCCAGATTTCAGGACAGATTGGCAGAAATCTGCCTTTGGGGGGGTCCAGAATTCCCACTTTCCATGGATATATGGAGCAATTGTCCACTGAGGATTAAGATATTCCCCATTAATAAGAGCACCAGGTCAGAAAAAAACCCCAAATCCTAAAAACCCACCCAAATCCAGGTTCCACTAAATCAGTTTAAATGACTAAATCAATTCAAGCCACTTCATCCTGAGCTTATTCCAAGTGGTTTCTCCTCAGGAAAGATCCATTGGGATGGTTGTGGATGTGTTTTCCTTCTCTTATCCCCTCTTTTTCCTCCTGGCACATCCCAAAAACATCTGGATGATTTTACATCTGGATGATTTTACCACTTCAGAGCAGAACTGAAGCGAAATCATCTGAAACACTCCAAAAAATTAAAGAAAATTTGCTTTAAAATACCTGATATTTCCAAATGCAGCTCCCAAGGGAAAGAGCCACGGGAAAGATCCTAAATCTGATGGAAAGTTCCAGCCCAGGCAATTTTAAAACCCAGAAATTTCTGCTTAAAAAAAAAAACCAAACAAGGTCAAGTCTTATCCAACTTTTGGCAGTGGGGCCTCCTAATGTGTGTCAGGCAGGGATTTTTGGGAACCCTGGTTCTAATTTTGGAAATTCGGCGAGTTTTGATCTTGTGATGAAGTTCCAGGAGGGGGAAGTTGGAAGCAGAGAGGAAAATCACAGGAACGGTCTCCGTGGGAGGGAAAAGGAATCCTGGAATTATTCAGGTTAAAAAGGAGCTTTGGGATCATCAATCCATGTCCCCAAGGGTCACAGCCACAGGTTTTTTGGGAATTTTCAGGAGTGGAGACCCTTTCCATGAAAAAACAGGATCCTTGATGTTCAAGCTAAACTTCCTCTGGTGTGACTTGAGGTCCTGGGATTTGTTTTACCTGGGAAAAGAGATTCCCCCTGGATCCCCCCTCCTGGCAGGGAATTGTGGAGAGGGAGAAGGTTCTCCCTGAGCTCCCTTTTCTCCAGGCTGAGCTCCCCAGATCCATCAGAAAGGAGAATCCATTCCCCCCAAACTGGGAACTGGGAATTGGGAGTCCCTTTTTTGCAGGCTGAGCCCCCCCAACTCCATCAAAATCATGGATCCTTTTCCCCCAAACTGGGAACTGGGAATTGGGAGTCCCCTTTTTGCAGGCTGAGCACCCTCAGATCCATCAGAAACATGGATCCTTTCCCCCTGAGCTGGGAACTGGGAATTGGGAGCCCCTTTTCTCCAGGCTGAGCTCCCTCAGCTCCATCAGAAATGTGGATCCTTTTCCCCCAGACTGGGAACTGGGAGCCCCTTTTCTCCAGGCTGAGCCCCCCCAGCTCCCTCAGATCATCAGAAACGTGGATCCTTTCCCCCTGAGCTGAGAATTAGGAATTGGGAGCCTCTTTTCTCCAGGCTGAGCACCTTCAGCTGCATCAGAAACATGGATCCTTTCCCCCCAGACTGGGAACTGGGAATTGGGAGTCCCTTTTTTGCAGGCTGAGCACCCTCAGATCCATCAGAAACATGGATCCTTTCCCTTCAGAACTGGGAACTGGGAACCCCTTTTCTCCAGGCTGAGCACCCTCAGATCCATCAGAAACATGGATCCTTTCCCTTCAGAACTGGGAACTGGGAATTGGGAGCCCTTTTCTCCAGCTCTCTCAGATCCATCAGAAACGTGGATCCTTTCCCCTCAGAACTGGGAACTAGGAACCCCTTTTCTCCAGGTTGAGCCCCCCCAGCTCCATCAGAAACATGGATCCCGTGCCTGGGAGCCGGGAGCTGTGTCCCTGCCCTGGCTAATCCCGGGATTTTCCCTGCAGGACAAGGTGCTGAGGATGCTCTACGTGTGGGCCCTGTGCCGGGACCAGGACGAGCTCAATCCCTACGCGGCCTGGAGGCTCCTGGACATCTCCTCGTCCAGCACTGAGCAGGTCCTCTGAGGAATCTCTGCATCCAGGGCCTTCCTGACCCTCTGGAGCTCGGAACTCGCCCCAGCCTCCTGGACTGTGGGGGGAAGAAGCCAGGCTGGGGGCTCTTGGGGGAGGCTTTTTTTTGGGAGAGCGGGTGATCCCGGTGATCCCAAATCCCCGGAGGAGCCGGGCGGGTGTGCCCTCCCTGCCCCGTGCTTTGCTGTGTCCAAGGGTTTGTGGAGCTCCACCTCAGAGACACGTCCTGGTCCTTCTTTCATCGTGCCTGGAGCGTTTCCCAGGATTCCAGCGAGGTGGGAATCGGGAGGGGGCTGTTCCAGGTCTAATTCCCACCTCCGGCGGCCTCGGAGCAGCCCTGGAAAGGCCTTTTTTCCACTCTCGGCTGCCACGTGTCCTGTCCAAGCTCCACCACCAGGCCTTGTGTCCCTGCCTCGCACTTTACCAGCCAAATACAAGCAGGACTTTGCACCTGGAGTCAGGCTGGGTTTGTGGGATCGCCGGGAATGGTTGGGAATGGCGGCTGGGAATGGGGGGGTTTGTGTGGTTGGGTCTCCACGGCTTCACAGGGGGACGTTGTGGTGGCTTCTGGTGCCACCAAAGAGCCACAGCTGAGGCTGGGTGGGGTTGGTGGGGTGGGGAGGAGGAGCAGGAGTGGGAAAAGTGGGATAGGGGAGGAGGGAGTGGGTGGAGTGAGGAATGGGAAGGTGAGGGGGTGGAATGGCAGGAGTGGGAAGGGGAGGAGGAGCAGATGGAATGTCAGGAGTGGAGAAGTGAAGGAGGAGGTGGAATGGCAGAGTAGTGGGAAGGTGAGGGACCAAATGGAGTGTCAGGAGTGGGAAGGTGAGGGAGCAGGTGGAGTGTCAGGAATGGGAGGAAGGTGAGGAACAGGTGGAGTGAGGAATGGGAAAGTGAGGGGGCAGGTGGAATGTCAGAGGAGTGGGAAGGTGAGAAGGAGCAGGTGGAATGTCAGGAGTGGGAAAGAGGGAGCAGGAAGAGTGTCAGGAATGGGAAGATGAAGAGGGAACAGGTGGAATGTCAGGAGTGGGAAGGTGAGGAACAGATGGAGTGTAAGGAATGGGAAGGTGAGGAGGAGATGGAGTGTCCGGAGTGGGAAAGTGAAGGAGGAGGTGGAATGTCAGAGGAGTGGGAAAGGTGAGGATGGAGCAAGTGGAGTGTCAGGAATGGGAAGGTGAGGAACAGGTGGAATGAGGAATGGGAAGGTGAGAAGGAGCGGGTGGAATGTCAGGAATGGGAAGGTGAGGGAGCAGGAATAGTGTCAGGAATGGGAAGATGAAGAGGGAACAGGTGGAATGTCAGGAGTGGGAAGGTGAGGAGGAAATGGAATGTCAGGAGTGGGAAAGTGAGGAGGAGGTGGAATGTCAGGAGTGGGAAGGTGAGGAGGAGCAGGTGGAGTGAGGAATGGGAAGGTGAGGGACCAAATGGAGTGTAGGGAATGGGAAGGTGAGGAGGAGATGGAATGTCAGAGGAGTGGGAGAGATGAAGAGGGAGTAGATGGAATGTCAGAGGAGTGGGAAGGTGAGGATGGAGCAAGTGGAGTGTCAGGAATGGGAAGGTGAGGAACAGGTGGAGTGAGGAATGGGAAGGTGAGGGAGCAGGTGGAATGTCAGAGGAATGGGAAGGGCTCCATGAGGGATGTGTGAGGCAGCTGCTAAAAGGCTGGGAAGTTGTTTTGTACTTCCCAGCTCGGCCCTGGCACCATCCCGAAGATCCCAGCTGGGAATTGCTGCTCTTCCCAAGCTGTGAAATCCAGGGATGCATCTGCTGGAGGGAGAGGAGCTGCTGTGAGTGTCTGTGCCCAGAGCCAGCCCACACACAGCTGGAGCTCCTGGCACCCTCGGGGAACTCTGCATGGAAGGGTTTCCATGGATTTGGGCAGGGATCCATGCCAGGTCCGGGAAGCAGTGCCAGCTGTCCCTGGAGCATCCCCACCCAAAATCTGGGATCTGAATCTGGATCTACACCTAAATCTGGGAGGGAGGGGTTCACCTGAGCTCTCTGTGTCTCCCAGGAAGTGAATCCCAGCAGGAAAACTGGGCTCACTGGTGGAGCCCTCGCTCCCAGATCAGGGAAGATCCGGGAATCCAGCTCCAAAAACACCCTTGGGCATTCAGGGAGCTCCAGTCTTACTTCTCAGGCATGGGCTGGTGACTCCTGGACTCCCCTGTTCCCTTTGGAGCATCCCATGGACCACCTTCCCTCCTTTCACCTCCCTCTGGACCCTCAGCTCGGATGTTCCCAGCAAGAAAACCTTCCTTGGCTGCTCTATCTGGGTGGGAATGCACAATTTGAGGTTTATCCCAAGGATTTCAACCCCCAATTCCTGTTGACATCCACCAGGAGATGGATTTAGTGGCCCAAATTCCAGGGGCAGAGGCTGAGCTGAGCCCAGGATCCAGGGGGAAGGGTTGTTATCCCAGGATTCAGCACCAGGGCTGGCACTTGGCTCATGGATTCCTGCTCAGGGGACATGGAGTTGTTATTCCATGGGATCAAAGAGCCCCTGAAGCCTGGGAGGGGAATTGGATGGAGCTGGGCCCAAAGCTCAGCTCTGGGAAGGGCTGGATTCGGGCACATTCCTTGGGCACATTCCTTGGGGAGGATGGTTTGGGACATCCCAAAGGGGTTTGAAACCATTCCAGACCCGAATCCTTCCAACTGTGCCTGAGAAATCTTTTGATCTGTCAGGGAATCATGGAATGATTTGGGTGGGAAGGACTTTAAAGCCCATCTTGTTCCCCCCCCCACCATGGTCAGGGACAATTCCCACTATCCCAAGTTGCTCCAACCTGGCCTTGGACACTTCCAGGGATGGGGAACCTCTGTGGGAGGTGGGAATGACATCCCTGCTGTGGGTCCCTCCCTCTGGAAGGAGCTGCATCCAGGGCTGTTGTCTCCAAAGGAAGCCCTTGGCTTTGGGATGGAGCCCCTGGGGGGGCAGTGGATGTGTGGGATGAGAGCTGAGGGATCCATGGATTCACCCCCTGGCTGGAGCCGTTCAGCAGGACACAGAGAGATCCCCTGGGAGTGTCCAAGGCCAGCTTGGAGAAGAGAAGGTTCCAAGGATTCCTTAAAAACCTTCCAGTGCCTAAAGGGGCTCCAGGAGAGCTGAAGGGGGAACTGGGACAAGGGATGGAGGGATAGGACACAGGGAATGGCTTCCCACTGCCAGAGGGAGGGTTAGGTGGGATATTGGGAAGGAATTCCTGGCTGGGAGGGTGGGGAGGGACTGGGATGGAATTCCCAGAGAAGCTGTGGCTGCTCCAGCCCTGGAAGTGTCCAAGGGTTTCCCGGAGGTGGGATCACACCCCTGGATAAATCCCAGGATAGTGAGGGAGATCCTGGAGCACTCGGAGCTGATTATGGATCCGGGGAAGGGAATGGAGCTGGGAAGGAGCTGGAGCAGCTGCAGGAGCTGGGGGGGCTCATCCTGGAGAAAAGGAGGCTCAGGGGGGACCTTCTCCCTCTCCACAACTCCCTGGAAAGAGGTTGGAGCTGGGGAAGTCGGGCTCTGCTCCCAGGGAACAAGGGACAGGACGAGAGGGAACAGCCTCAAGCTGTGCTAGGGGAGGGTCAGGACGGATATCAGGGAAAATTCCTTCGTGGAAAGGGTTGTCAAGCTCTGGAAGGGGCTTCCCGGGGCAGGGGTGGAGTTCCCATCCCTGGAAGTGCCCCAAAAACCCGTGGATGTGGCCCTTGGGGACACGGGTGGCCGTGGCAGCGCTGGGGGATGATTGGACTCCGTGGGCTCAGAGGTTCTTTCCCACCTTTCCCATTCCCTGATTCCCAGGTGCCGGGCACTCCTCAGTCCTTGCCGGTGGCTCCCAACCCCGGGATGTCTCCAAGGGAAGCGGAGTTGCCATGGGAATGGTGACTCACCGCTTTTCCAGCACCAGAAGCTGCTCCGGGAGAAGCTCTGACATTCCGGGGGCGTCTCCCTGTTCCCCCTCATCCCCTGGATACCGTGGGATCCACCTGGATACCGTGGGATCCACCTGGATGCCATGGGATCCACCTGGATACTGTGGGATCCACCTGGATACTGTGGGATCCACCTGGATGCAGGGACTTGGTTTCCCCCCCCTCCAAGCTCTGGGAAGAAAAGGGTTTCCCAGCTCGGGCTCCACCTGCTTTTCCCTTTAAACCTGGGGGGTTTCTCCCTCTTTTTCCTCATCTCCATTTAGGTCTTGGGAAGGGGAATTGGTGACTCAAGGGATTCTGGAATGTGGGATGTGCCCGGAAGAGCCTGAGGCAAAATCCTTTGGGATTTGAGGCTGGAATGGGGGGGCTGAGCAGCGAAACCAGGGGAAGGGGTTGAGGTTTTTGGGGTGGAAGGAGAGGAGCTTTAAGGTCCCTCCCAACCCAAACCGTGCCAGAATTCCATGAGATTTCCCACTGGGAAGGAGGGACCTTTCCCCCCTGTTATCCCCAAGCACTCAGGGCTGTTCTGTTGGAATTTGAACATCTTGAGTCTCTTCACAGCCCAAACCCCTTCCCTGAAGATCCTCTTTGGCCATTTCCCACTTTTTGGCCCGATTTGGCTGGAATGGGATCGGGATGGAACGGGATGGGATCCCTCCATGCACTTTGCTCCTCTCTTCCTGCCCCACAGTCATTCCTTAGGAATTTCCTCCTCCCTGGCCTTCCTGGAATGGGGAGTTGCTCCTTCCCAGCCCTCAGCAGGTGGAATTCTCCCTGTGGAACTCCAGCTCCAGGGAATTCCTGTGCCAATCCCTCATTTAGGAACAACTCATTAGAGGGTGAAGGGTTTTTTTGGATGAGCTGGTTTCCATCTCCAGCTCCACGGAGCAGCAGCTGCCCCTCCAGGTGCTCAAATCATCAACCAGACCCCCTGAGATGGTTTTTTTTTTGGGCAGGGAACAATTCCAGGATGATTTTCCTCCTTTTTTAGATGAGATCCAAGCTCTGGGAGCTCTCCCTGGGGCTTAGTCAGGCTCGTTGGAGGGATGAGTTATTGGGAATGTGTGGATTCTTCTGGCTGTGACTGTCCCTCCAAATATACATATTTAAAAAAAAAAAAAAAGCTTAATTAAGGCAAATGCTTTAAGAATATTTTTCTCCCCCCCCACACACACCCACACACCCACGTTTTCCCAGAAAGCACAGGGAGGAAATTCCACCTTGAGAGGCTCTTCCTGGCACAGGGAAGCCGTGGCTGCCCCATCCCTGGGAATGTCCAAGGCCAGGTTGGAGAAGAAAAGGTTCCAAGGATTCCTTAAAACCCTTCCAGGGCCTAAAGGGGCTCCAGGAGAGCTGGAGAGGGAGCTGGGATGAGGGATGGAGGGACAGGACACAGGGAATGGCTTCAAAGTGAAAGAGGGGAAATTTAGATGGGATATTGGGAAGGAATTCCTGGCTGTGAGGGTGGGGAGGACCTGGGATGGAATTCCCAGAGAAGCTGTGGCTGCTCCATCCCTGGAAGTGTCCAA